GAGAGTTTTTAGGGTCTAAGGTTAGGGACTAGGGTTTAGGATTGTAGGGGTTAGGGTTTTCAGGAGATTGATGCAGCCACCAGAGGTATTCAAAGTTCACTAGGCGCCACGGGGCTCTAAACCCTTATTGTAGTAGATTGTAGGGTAAGTGATAGCAGTTGATACAGTAGCAGATTCTTGTCTATAGTAGATGATAGTATATTATGGTATGATATAGTCTGATATAGCATTTTATGCTATCTAATCTAAACCCTAGCCGAAAGCCTCCCGTGCTGGGGCACTCTGGCTCCAAAGCTTCGGGTCTTGTAGGCAGAAACCCTTCTTGCGACGGTTCATGGTTTAGGGTTTGGGGTTTAGCGTGTGGGGCTTAGGGCTTAGGGTCTAGGGTTTGCTCAATAGTATCTCTCATTCACTTGTAGTAGCCTTTAAAGTACACCAGTAGCCTAGCTGTGCCTTAAAGGTTCTCGTACCCTTAGTCACTTACAGTAGCTCTTATGGTACCTTATAACCCTAGACCCTAAACCCTAAACCGTAGCTCTTATGGTACCTTATAACCCTAAACCCTGAACCCTAGCTGCCGTAGCTCTTATGGTGCCCTATAGACTCGACGTTACGAAGGCGACAGTGTGCGGCTATTCGCTTTCTGGCAAGAGGAGCCGATGCAGCCGGCTTCCGCCTCGGCCACTTATAGGGTTTTGGGCTTTAGGGTTTAAGGATATTTCTGGTCTTTCTCCGTCTCTGGTTAGCGCATGTCGTCTTGCTTGGCGTAGATGAGGTGATGGTGGCACCAGAGCCTTGCGGGACCCGAGCTGTGGAGTCTAGCTGATGTTATTGGACGTCGGGTTTTTGGGCCAACGAAACATGGGGCCATCCTCTGTGGAGGACATTGCCAAAATCAAGGTCGTGAACAAGGAACGTTCCGGCCTGAGCTGTGCTGCAGCCTCCTCTCAGTAGTGTCGCCTTGGTGCTTCCGTTGCCGTGGCCTTGCAGTGACAGGTTTGCAAACCGAAGAGCTGGAACAAGAAAGGGGGAGCTCTGACATTCTCAGGAAGGTCTCGCACAGCATCTCGACCTCTGCGCAGGAAACGGATGCATCTGATTCCTCTGCCAGGTCAGCAAGCGAATCGCCCGTGCATCGCAATGCGGAGTTGAGGCCACACTGTCTTCAACGCACTAGTTACATGGGAACATCTTGTACAATCCGCAGAGTCGTCTGCTTTGTCAATGCATCTCCTGAGGCCGTTGCCGACTGCGTGGTGCTGTTTGCCGCTTAGTTTCCGGGTGGAGGGAAGCGTTTTTTGTGGCATCTTCCGACTTTCTGAGCTGCAGATGCCTTTCGTGGAGCAGGATGCTTGTAGTCGTTGTTTCGAAGCCGAGCAGCGCTGTTGGCGACAGTGCCCCGTGCGAAGAGCACCGAGAAAGCACACTCAGCCGATTGCAGTTGTCTGGTTTCTCTGCCTCGCCCCCTGCCCAGAGAATCTCAAGGTCGCAAGACTCTCTGTTGAAGATGCCGCGCTTCATGTGGGTAGTTCTCTAAAGTAGGGTCCCCTTTTTGGTTCCCAAATATAGTGCGGCACCCTTACAAAAAGGACCCCAAAAGGGACCCTAATTTAGAGAACTACCCATGTGCAAAAACCGGAATCCAAGGCACGGAGATCATGATGCGCGCAGCAGCGCCAAGCCCGGGGCCTTGCCTGTCTCTGCTCCTCCCAAGGTTGTCTTTTAGGTATCGCCCCAGAAAGGCACTCTAGTAATCTTAAGGGAACCCTGAGAGTACCACTAGAGGCATCCCCGAAGCTCTTAAACCCGAAACCCCCCCACAAGAAGTCAGGCTCCTGCCTTTTTGCTTGGCGTCTGTCTGGAAGGAAGAACACTGGCATGAGTTTAGGCCTAAACCCTAAAAGGAATAGGTTTGGGTGGTTTGGCCGCCTTGGACGGCGAGGGGTGGGAGAGAAAGAAGGAAAAGCCTGCTATAGACAGGCTTTGACAGCTCATCGCCACCTTGTTGCAAGATATTGCGCCAACGCGCTACTCCACGGCAAATCCTAAACCCTAAACCCCTAAAGCCCAAACCCTAAACCCCTAAAGCCCAAACCCTATACTAAACCCCTAAAGCCCAAGCCCTCAACTCCTAAAGCCTAAAGTTCCGCCGTTGCCTCGCCTTAAGTTCGCGGTGCTACGTCGGAGGCTCCTCCTGGGCTGGGCGATGCGACAACGGGGCGACCCCCTGGCCCAGGCCGTTCTTGGGGTTTACCTGTAACCGAAAAGACCTACCTTTTTAGGGTTCCTTATTATGGTTTCTATATATAGTTTCTGAAAAAGGTAGGTCTTTTCGGTTACAGGTAGAGTTTAGGGTTTACCGGTTTAGGGTTTGGTTTTAGGCACTTCGCGTTGCAACCTGAATGAAGTTGATTTGCATATGGCAATATTGGCCCCTTGTTGCCATTCACAAGGTCGTTGTCACGGAGCTTGCATGGAGCATTCATCATGCAGTATGAAAACATTATAGTAAGTGTTTTGCTGCGTGCGCCCTCGAGTGATTTTCATTTGTGGATGGCGAGCTGCCCGCAACGGCTACGGCGAATCCTTGCTGCATCCGTGTTGGCCACCCACATCCCCGCAGGCTTTGCATCTGTGTGTCCGAATGGCCCTGAAGCGCCCTGGGCATGTGCTGATAATGTCACGGATTGTGTGGCCGGAAGACCTGCCGAACCTTGTGCTTGCACGGATGGTTATTATCCTGTGGGCATAGAGGGCTGGTATCCCATAGATTGGGGCCGTGGATACAGGTTCACGTGTTGTCTCGGCGACAGCACAAGCAGCTGCGGCGAGGATCGATTTTTAGGTATACTTTCTGTCGCGATGGTGTGTATAGGTCTCATCGGCGTGGCAGTATGCACATTCATTATTCACCAGTGCCAGCGCCGCCAGCCGCTTACTGATGCCGACCTCGCCATTGCGGAAAGGCCCACTGTGCACGAAGGCGAGAGACTTCACCAGACAGTTGAGAAGCACATGTGGTGTGTAACGCTGGAGGACCTCAAGCAGTTTCGGCGCCTTGTTCGCCATGCCGTTGCAGAAGGGGTCATCAAACCTACGGACCGAGATCCCTTCGACACTGCAGACTGCAGGACTGGCCCCTCCATATACACAGTGAACAAAAAGGACCTTCAAAAGGGACCCTAATTTGGAGAACTACCCTAAAAAGGGATTCAGTGAACATGCAGTACATACAGCCGGTGACAGCTGCAGCTGGTAACCCGAGTTGGGCCTTGATGCTTCACCCAGCGGGCTTGAAATGTGATTTGTTCATTACGCATGGCTGGGCCGAGGGCGTTTTTGAATTCGTGGACCAAGTTGTAAACTCATGGCCGTCTGGTGCCAAAGCTGCCTATGTCTGCTTCTTGTCCAACCCGCAGAACCTTGACATTGCAGAGTTGATCGGCAGTCCAGAAGAATCACCTTTCGCGAAAGCATTGGGGTCTGCATCACGGGTGCTAGCAGCGCCGAATCATCATCAAAGCATATACACCCGTGCATGGTGTGTGTTTGAAGCCTACCTTGCGTACACGTGGGGCAAGTCGATTTACACTGCCACATCTCCGCCAGCCCACTTCTGGCCAATGTCGTTGAGGACAGCAAGTTGGTCTGTACTGATGTTGGGCGTCTGCTCCTGCACGTTGGTGCACGGAAACAGGAACTCTGAATTGTGGGATTGGGGCCAGATCAGTGTTGTGATGGACGCTCTTGGAGGGCTGACTGTCATCAGCGGTTGCTGCTTTGCATATTTGATGGTGACAGGAAGGCATCACTGGAAGGCCACGGAAGCTGCACTCTTTGCTTTTAGCGCCTTCTTCGCCGGCCGCTTGGCCACCAACATATTCCGGGAGTCTCTCCAAACGGTGTTCAACTTTGTGCCTTTGGTGACGACTCCATTTGTTTTCTGGGCCATGGAGTGCGACCGTTTATTAGGCATCGAAGCTGCAAAGCAAGCCAAGCAGCTGCGCGAGGGCTTCACCGGGCATATACGAGATGCGACTACCTCGAACCTAGGTCGGTGCTTGTTCCATTTCTGCTAAGGGTTGTACCAAAGCTTTTTTACGATTTAAAGGAAAGAACTTGGATGTTGTTCTATCCCGGATAATAAAGAACCGAGGAATCCAGCTGATGGTGAGCGGATACGCAACACCATCGAGCAAAGCGGAGCAGAAACAGCTGTCAATGAGGCCGTTGCTGTGCTTCTCCGAATGAGCCTGTCCACCCCAGAGTTACGACTTGTCACGTCGCTTGCGGGATCCCTGGGCAACGCGTCAAACTGGAGCCGCGGTATTTTTGCCATAGTCGTGACTGTCTGGGTGAGTGCGGCATTCAACTCTGCATTGTGGCGGATCGAGCCAGGCTTTCAATGGATCCCGTTTGCTGTTGCAGCTGAGGCTCTCATCGTGGTTATTGGCTTCCCACTGTTGCCTCGAGACCGGAGGCCCTTTGCAGAGAGGACTCAGTGGGGACTCTTGTTGTCTATCCCGGGGTATCTTGGAATCATTGGTGGCCCATGGCATGATGCCATTTTGTATGGCATAGTCGGTCCTTTGATGATGCTCGTGGCCTTGGCGGGGCCGTCGCGTACGTCGCGCGTACCTGTTCCTCGGTCCTTCCTAGGAGGAGTTGCTGCTTTCATGGGATTTTGACGGGAGGTAGCATATAGAGAAGTTCTTGACGGGTTCCTCAAGATACTCCAGGTTCTGGGTCCCATGCTAGTTCGTGCCCTATTTGGACGCAACCCTTTCAAGTGCTCTGTTCCGGACCGCCCGGGAGCTTTCGCGGGCCAGGCCAGTAAGCCGGCAGCACCTGAACTGGAGGATGACTATGTATCGATCTAAGTGGATTGGCTTTCCATGGCTTGGGAACTACTTGACGAATGAAAGGTTTCTTCCTTCTGATGAGAAGCTGTCTCGCTCACCATCTTGGCAAGAGTTATGCATCTAGCTTGACAGCACGAGCAGCTCCGACTGCAAAGCAGCGGCCTCTGCAAAGCAGAGATGTTCATGGAAATCAATTGTCAGGCCCATGGCTCAACCCAGGCGATTGGAAAGGATATTTGGAGAGGAAAAGATACCTGTTTTTTCAGCACGAGCAGCTCCGACTGCAAAGCAGCGGCCTCTGCAAAGCAGAGATGTTTATGGAAATCAATCGTCAGGCCCATGGCTCAACCGAGGCGATTGGATAGGATATTTGGAGAGGAAAAAAACTTGCTTGTGCAGCACGAGCAGCTCCGACTACAAAGCAGCGGCCTCTGCAAAGCAGCGGCCTCTGCAAAGCAGAGATGTTCATGGAAATCATTCGTCAGGCCCATGGCTCAACAGAGGCGATTGGATAGGATATCTGGAGAGGAAAAGATACCTGCTTGTGCTTGAAAAGAGTTATGCATCTGCACGAGTGGCTCCGACTGCAAATCTCGCTATGCTCGTGTAGAGATTCTTGTATACTGCAGGACTTTTGTCTGTGTGACTTTTGACAAATGCTGCTTGCGAGTTGGCCAAGCCTGCGGATGACATTGGCATGCTGGAAGTGGGAGAAAGTGAGGTGAAGGCCGCACTTTGTTGACATCTCTGTCGTGACTCCGTCACTAGCGCTTTCCTGAGACTTTTTTGCCTGTGCTTGTGGACCAGGCGCTGACGGAGGAGATTGTGGAAGAGGTTGAAAAGCAGGCGATGCGATCTGCATTTGGCCGTCATGTCGCGATCCCGACTTTTCACACGTGCAAGGCGAACGTGTATCTCTTCGTGAGAGATGATGTTAGCCAGCCAGGGCCCCATGCAGTGCTTGGCCGAACGGATGCTGAGGGAGGGGAGGGTTTGGGAGGAGTGGGGGGATGCAAAGTTTGCGAATCCTCCCCGACCCGAAGGCTTTCGAAGCCTCACCTGACACTCGCCCTGCACCCCCGGCAGAAAGTCTGTGAACTGCAGGCTCAAAGTCCTGAACCCGGAATCCTCAACACTGATTTTGACTTGAATATATGTCAGTGATGCATAATATGACTGCTGAGATGTCAATCCTAACCGTGCGTGGACGCCTGTCGTTTCAACTCAGTCGATCAGGCAGCAATACAAGTACGGCGACAAGAGTCTGGTCCAGACCAGAAAGATTTTCACACTATTTTTGTTCATTGGCACTAGTTATCACTCACCATGTGACGTTGGCTTCGCGCGTAGTGTAAGCAACTATAGAATCATTGTGCAGTAGCAAGAGTAGTGCTGGTTTTCCTCGTCGTCGTCGAAGTAGTAGTAGCAGTGGCTGCAGTAGTGGTAGCAGTGGCAGCAAAAGCAGGAGCATTTGATGCAGTGGGGCCGTGGGAGCAGTAGCTGCGGCAGTAGCGGTAGCGGTATGAGCGGCAGCAGCAGTAGTAGCAGTATTAGCAGGAGTAGAAGTAGTAGTGGCAGTAGTAGTAGCACTACTAGTGGTAGTAGTACTACTAGTCGTAGTAGTAGTAGTAGTAGTAGTAGTAGTAGTAGTAGTAGTAACAGCAGCAGCAGCAGTAGCAGTAGCAGTAGCAGCAGCAGTAGTAGGAGTAGGAGTAGGAGTAGGAGTAGGAGTAGGAGTAGGAGTAGGAGTAGGAGTAGG